AAATCGTTATTTGTACACCATTTGTTATTATTGCTAACAATTTCATGCATGTTAATATGATATTTGCAAGTAATGCATGACATAGAAATATTATTTCGATTCCGCCGGAAGCATCTACAAAGAATAATCCCGTTATACCAGAATCGAATATTTATAAAATAGTCTTGAAAACTTGTTCTTGTTTAAGATTTAGCTTTGATTGTGCTTCCTCAGATACTTGTATAACATTTTGATTCTTAATAATATATTAACATTTTTACTTTGTGTTCTAGCGCTCTTTTTATGGAATAAATTTATGTACCCGGAGATTTTTTTTAACTTGAATAAGAATTTTACTCATATGATGAATTCAAAATAATTGAATTGGATTCTCTTGCTAAATAATTAATTCAACGATTTAATTATTTGAGTTTAACATAAAAAATAATTTATTATATGTTGATTCAGATCTTAATATTAGTTTCATCTCTTGTTTTGAATATTTAATCTTAATTATAATATTATCCACCATAAATTTTATTTTCAAGGAGTAAAAAATTGATATGATATTTCACTTTTAGATCTTTATGTTTATAGAATCATTAGTGGTATTGACTCTTACCAACTATTTTTTTTGCTCGCAAATTTATATTCGTAAATATTTTCTTAATTGTTGTTTAATAATTGGGTATTTTTTAATATTACACAACAAATTGATAAAAACAAAATATTATTTGAGTAGGAAAATAGTTCAAATATAATATAAAAATATATTATCGTGGGGGTCTTTTTTTTCCTCTCAATTTTAACTCTTTATATATTCAATTTAATATTACTTTTATTTTTTCTTCGTATTGGACATTATGTAGTGATAATGTATTGTCAATACGGGGGATTCTTATGAAATTGATTTTATTAAACCTACCTACATATTTTTAATAAGAATTTAATAGATAAATTTTTATTAATTTTAAATATTAAAAATTAGCATAGAAGATATTGTAGTCCAAAAAATAGGTTATTGCAGTTATGTCCTTTCCCTATGAGTTCTTCCGTTTAATATTTTAGGGCAATTTGATATATTAATATTGTATTTATGCTTTTATAATAATATATGCTCTCATTTTTCTTAATGAATTTGGACAATATAATACATTCTCAAATTAAATTAGTAATAGGACATTATAATACGTTTTTAAATTAAATTGGTAATAGGAATTTTATATAGATTAGACAACCCGAAAATAATTATACTAATACGATTCCTAAAGCTAGTCATGTAGGATTCCTAACATGTAGTATTATGTCCTAAAACTAATATGATTATAAGGCTAATATCTAGAATTTCGGTTATATCCTTTTATTATGAGTTATTATGTTTAAAATTATAAGGTTATTTTTGTAAACCGACATTGTATTCATACTTTTATAATAATATAGATATAGATTATTGGTTACTTAAGTAGCAACGCATTTTTCTATGGAACATTGATTAAGATCACTATAATTACCAATGTACCCCGCAATAGGCCACCTATTATATAAGAGAAAGAACATCATTTCTGTAATAAAGAGGGCACAAATGTCGAATTAGATGCTAAGCCTAGCATCTGATAAATTATCTGGTTACCTGCCACTACGGGTGTTCAACCGAAAAATCGAGCCAAACCGAAAATCGAATCAACCCGACCAAATTTTTATTTTTTTTTTTGGTTTGGTTTGGTTATGATTTTGAATTGCAAAAATCGATCAAATTTGATTTGGTTTTGATTTTAATCAAAAAATAACCGAATACAATCGGACTATGGAAATAGCTACTTAAAAATATTATTACACACATATATATGTATCTTTTTATACAGAATTTTCAAAAATTTACGGTACATGTTAATTGTTTGCACTTTTAGTCTAGTTCTTTACTATTATAATAATCTAGTTCTTTGCCGTTACATTTCTAGTTTGATTGGTAGATTTTTTTTGCTAAGTACAAGATTCTATTTCATGTTAAAAATAATATATTTTTAATTGAGTCCTTAAATTATTGATCATTTGATTCAATTATCATCAATATATCTTCATCAATGATATATTTTCTCAATGAGCAATTGATTTGATAGTGTTACATTAAAAATATAGTCATCGAAAATATGTTTGGTAGTGTATATCTCATATTTAAGAAAAATCGATAAATAACAATAAAAATCGAAAATCAGACAAAAATCGAATCGATAAAAAAATCAACTTTTGGTTTGGTTTGGTTCCAATATTTGAAAAAATGACTTACTTGGTTTGATTTCTTTTTAGAAAAAACCCGATTCAAACCGAACCATGAACATCTCTACTTGCCAATACTGGTATGAATAATTACTGATATTCTTTTTTTATAGCTTGTTTGGATGATTGTTACCAATTTTATTGTATCGTATTATTACTTTAAATACAGTATTTGTTTTGATTGTTACTTGAATTTTAATGTATCGTATCGTTAAATCCATCGTTACGTAACGACGAAAAGTGCGACTTTGTGGAACGACGCATTTGGTGTGGTCGCATCGTTTACTTGCTTTTTCTCTCATATTGCCCTTCCTTATTATTAAGTAGTCGTATTTTATCTTTTACCCTACCTTTTCATATAGTAATTCTACTATGTATCCTATTTTTCTTAGTAATATTGCAAATTTATTCTTCATATGGTTGGCGCGTGACATCATAAAACGACGATAAACAATACAATCTATCCAAGCGTTGTATTCATCGAGCAATTCAATCCAAACAAGTTGTTAGTCGGCTAAAAAAACACATATATAATAATAATAATTTAATTTTAAATTTTGTTTTTACTTTTAATAAGATAATTTATAGCCACATAAATATATATGACTCATTTTAAATTACAAATTCATAATTTCTTTTTATTTTTATTTTTTTAATTTCGTACCAATCAAGCATTATCATATAATTGGGACGGAGGGAGTAACATTTCTTTTAAAAATATAAATTCCATCGATGAGAGCGGAGTAGCATATATTCTATCCCATATTAGACCAGAAGAGGAGTGCATTCATTAGTTATGTTCGAATTAGGGACGCAATTTAGTGATTTACAAGTTATTCTTTTCTCTCTAAAATATGGTCGGTGGAAAATAATATGTTAAAAAAATTGTTCTCAATCCTAGTACTACGATCGTAATGCGTAATAAACCTGACAAATGAGCTGGGTTGGCCGATTTGAACTCGGTGACGATTTTAAGCCCACAAACCGGCCCACCAATTATTGAAGCGGGCACCGACTAGTCAGGCCCGAGAGAAATGGGCAAATAGCCCCTTTTTACACTGCTAATAAAAAAGGGCAAAATACTTTGCTAGCCAAAAAATATAAAAAATATGTATATTATATGTATACGCAAAATATATATATATATATATATATATATATATATTATTAGCTATTATTATTAGGAGCGGTTAAAAATATATATTTCTCAATAAAAAATTAACTATCATCTCAAAACTAATCAATATTTAGTCTGCAAAGAAAAAAGTTATTATTAAATACCCTACCAAAAACACAAAAAACTTTAAATCTTTTACAAGTGACATTTCAACAAATTCACTATAAGTGAAACTCCAACACAACATGTAAAAGATCAAACTTTCACAAGTAAAAGGCCAATGGAAAGTAATTTCTGTTTTTAATCATTTATTGTCCTTTTCCCCAATGTCTTCTTTACGTATTTAGTTTGCTTGGGTTGGGTGGGAGTATAAGATATGCTTGGATCAAAGCCATAGTAGTGATGAGGGAGTGTTCAGGAATTTGGAGAAGAAAAGAGATTGAAGAATACATGATAAAAAGGTCTTTTGAATATTTTCTTTAACATTAAGTTTTTTACACTAAATTTAAAAAATTGGCTAAACTTTAAATAGAATGATATAAAATGGCCACCCATGCCATTTCTACTTGAAAGTTGACATAATAATACCATTCTAAGTCAGAAGGAACACCAAGAGATTTTTCCAATTTGAATATTATCCTTCTATTTCAAATAACCAAGCTAGTTAACAAGCCAAAGTTTTTAACAAAAATATTTATGGACTTGTTATCTAATTGAAAGGAATTAATTTCCATAGCTTATAACTAAGATTTCCGTTAAAATTATCTAAACTAATGTTTTATTTTAATAACTAGGACATTATTTTAATTTTACTTAAATAAAATAAGATTTTATGGGTCGTTCGGTACAATGGTGGAATAAACTAGGATATCTCATCCCTTTAGATTAGCTATCTTACCTTTTATATGGGATAGCAATTTACCATTTTAGTGTAAACTTATCCGGGAGTTAGCTAATATTTGTGACCAACTATGAGATAATATAATTTCAACTTTTATCTTGTACGACGCCTTATAATTTAACTGAACATACACTACCACCAAAGATTGTGGTGGGTAAGCATCATTCTAATCTCAGTTTGAGCCATGAGAATTAAGTCACCTTTGACAATGAGCATTTTAAATCCTAAAATTGGACTTTCCATCTTAAAATTGGTAAAATAAAGCCCCGAAGTGTATAGTGACACCAGATAAGAAAAAATGGGCATTTTTTTTTTTTTTTTACTTTTAGCCCGTAGCATAAATTATTTATATTCGGTAGGCGAAAAAGTATATTAAATTTATATAATTCTTATATATAACATACATAATATATATATACAAAAAAAATATATTTTTTCGACTATTATTTTGAGAGCGGCTATACAAAAAAGTTTTTTAAACTGAAAAGGCTCTATGTAAACTAATTCGGATTTAAATAAAAATTCGAATTAATCAAGACCCAAATTAGATTTTTCATGCTAAAAGTACTAAAACAAAATTAAAATTTTTAAAACACAACATTTTTTTCTCATTATTATTATTAAACCCCCCCCCCCCC